GTGAAGCAGCTGCCAGACACTGAAACTCCTCCTGCCTGTCCTCAAGGACGTCCGTGTCAAGGGCACACTCACCCCCGACGGACGGAGGACAGACAGACTCAGACTCAGCGACAAGACTAGCAGCGTAGTCTAAGCGACAGCGAGCAGCAAAGTTGAGGAGCTCAGTAACGAGAGCAGACGCAGCAGTAGACTCGAAAGAAGGGTCAGTGACAACAGTAGCAAGGAGACGCGTGACAGTAGGACGGGCAGCACGAAGGGAGTCCGACTCCGGGTCGGCAAGAGCAGGAAGAGAGGACTCAGGAGGAGAAGGCAAAGGGGCACGCAGAGGAGCAGTGGACGGACGCAGAGACATCCGGTGCGTGCCAGGGACAGGAGGAGGACGCTGGCGCGAACCGCGACCACTAGTGCGAGTAGCACGGACAGGCGACGCAGGGCGAGACTCAGGCTCACGACGCTCAGCCAGACCTCCAGTAGGACCAGTGTAGGGAGAAGGAGCAGGCAAAGGGGAGGTAGGCTGCAACTGTAGCTGGGACGGGACAGGCTGTGGACACTCTAAGGGAGGAGGAGGACCAGTAGAAGGTGGAAGACAAAGAACCTGCTGCAGGAGTGGAACGAAGTACGGTCGAGGCCGCGTGGCGACGCCAGAAGCAGCAGGGACAGCACTAGAACCCTCAGCATGAGCACCCGCTCCAGTAGCACCACCAGTAGCTCCAGAACCTCCAGCAGCACCAGGAGCACCCCCAGCAGGACCGCCAGCGGTAGTCTCAGCGCCAACACCCTCAGCATTACCAGCTCCAGTCGACCCCGCAGGTCCAGCAGCTCCAGTGCTCCCAGTACGAGCACCTCCGGGACCCGCGACAGCAGCACCCTCAGTAGCCGACGAAGCTCCAGCACCAGCAGCACGGCTCCAGCGCCGGGCAAACCACTCACGCAGCTCTTGTGGAGAGAGTGGCTCCCGGCGAGACGTAGCACACGGAGAACCTCCAGTCGGAGCACCTCCAGTAGGAGCACCCGCTCCAACAGCACCTCGAGGAGCTCCAGAACCTCCAGCAGCAACAGGAGCACCCCCAGCAGGACCGCAAGTGGTAGTCTCAGCGCCAACACCCTCAGCAGCACCAGCTCCAGCCGAACCTGCAGGCCCAACAGCTCCAGTACTCCTAGGACAAGCACCTCCGGGACCCGCGACAGCAGCACCCTCAGTAGCCGACGAACCTTCAGCACCAGCAGCACGGCTCCAGCGCCGGGCAAACCACTCGCGCAGCTCCTGTGGAGAGAGTGGCTCCCGGCGAGACGTAGCACCCGGAGAACCTCCAGGCTCAGCACCCCCAGGCTCAGCACCCCTAGGCTCAGCACCCCCAGTAGCCAAAGAACCTCCAGTACCAGCTGCACGGCTCCATCGCCGGGCAAACCACTCGCGCAGCTCCTGTTGAGGGAGTGGCTCCCGGCGAGACAAAGCACTCGAAGAACCTCCAGGCGGAGCACCTCCAGACTCAGCACCCCCAGACCCGGCACCCCCAGGCAAAGCACCCCGAGGCGTAGCACCTTCAGGCTCAGCACCCCCAGGCACAGCACCTCCAGGCTCAGCACCCTCAGCAGCACCAGAGTCACCAGTGACCTCGACAGGCTCGACTGCGTCTACCTAGGACACACCTGAAGGGGCAGGACCCTGAGGGGGGAGGGGGTCTACCGGGGGGGGACCTGGTACAAGGAAGAGCGGGGGCGGGGGGAGGGACGGAGTGCGGTAGGGGAAGAGGCGGTAGTAGGGGACCGACTCGTCGAACATGACGTCCTGGGAGGACAGAACACGGCGAGAGGTGGGGTGGTAGAACTGCCACCCAGGCGCGTCAGGGGGAAACCCCAGGAAGACACAAGGAGCAGCACGAGGGGACAGCTTGTCCGCAGACAAGTCGCAGACAAACGCCCGAGATCCCCAGACCCGGAACGCCGACGCATCGCCAACCTTCCCCGTCCACAGCAAAGGCTGGGGAGGTCTCCGGCCTGGAGACCCTGGGGTGAAGGTTGATCTGATGCGCCGCGTACCTGACCGCAAACGGCCACGGAAAATGGGGGGCAGCCGCATGCATCATAGACGTACGAGCGACGTCCATGACCATGCCAATGCGGCGCTCAGCAATCCCATTTTGCTGTTGAGAGTGCGGAAGCGTGAAGGTCTGACGGATGCCCTGTGCGCGACAGTAGGCTCTCAGAAGGCCAGAGGAAAACTCTCCGCCTTTGTCCGAGTGCAGACGCGGAACAGGAAAGTCCGAGCCAAAGCTCTGCCTGAGCTGGTGACGAGCTGCGCGGATCCAGTCGATCAGCACCTCAGTGACATCACCCTTGCTGCGCAAGGGGAAGACTGCGGTGTAACGCGAGTAGTCGTCAACAACGAGCAGGAAGTAGCGCTCGTGACCCTGTCCACGGACGCGGGCTGGGCCCCACACGTCCATGTGAAGCGTCTGCAACGGGGCCTCTGTCGGAGGAAACTGGGAGGAGTGAGGGGCAGCACGCTGGCGCCCCTCGACACAGGGGACACAGGTAGGGCCAGGGCCCTGAGGAAGGGGAGGGAGGGACCGGGGGAGACCAGAAACAAGAAGACGAGAGGCCATGCCTCTGAGCCGAAGCAGAGAGGGGTGACCAAGGCGGTGGTGCCAGAGGAGAGTTTCGTGAGACAGGAGACGACACGAACAGGGGGTAGACTCAGGACCAGACCTGGACGCTGCAGCAAACACCTGACCTGACGCAGCTACCCTACCAGGCTCAGCAACTGGAGGAGACGCAATGGTTAGTGTGTACAGGCTCGACCCCGGCCGACGAGTAAATGTGGCCAGGTGTCGGCCTGTCCGAGCGTCCGTGCAGTGGGTCACCCGCTGACTCGCAGGAGTGATCTGGTGAACCCTCGCATCCTGCAGGTCAGCACCACTCACCAAGTTCATAGAGAACGAGGGGAGGTAAAGACCAGACAGGGTGCTAGAGGGGGCCGCCGGACACGGGAGGACAGTGGAGAAGTGAGCAAGGACAGGGCCCCCAGAGGGGTCTGCCAGAGAGACTGCAACTGGCCGACCAAGCGGCGTGAGTGTGGTGCAGTCTCGAAAGAAGGAGCGGGAAGCCCCCGAGTCAAGGGTGAAGGTGTGAGAGGCCGGAGCCGACGCGGTACCTGAGAGAGCAGACTAACCCGCACCTGAGGAAGCAGACTCACTAGCACCTAGAGCAGCAGCCGCACCTGTACCTGGAGCAGGAGACATACTAGCACCCAGAGCAGCAGCCGTACCAGCAGCTAGAGCAGCAGGATCTATACCCGGGTCAGGCGGTACGCACAGGTGACCGGCACGGTCAACACTAGTAGGCAATGCATAAATGGCAGTGAGAATAGCATCATAGTCAAGAGCAAATATATCTACCCTCTGCCTAAGCAACTCCACCTAGTCGGGGAGCTCAGCCTCGTCGCCAAACACGGTACGCCAGGCGTCGCTCAGACGGGCAAAGCAGCGGGACGGTGTGTGACTAGGCGTCCCACAAGGCTGACCAGTCCGAGCACCAGTGCGAATCACGTAAGAGCAGCGAACAGAACTGAGAGACCCTCTACTCTGAGCGTACCACTCACGAAGCTGCTGGGGCGTGAGAGACGCGCGTGGGCGTCGTTGGAGCTGCATCTGGCCGCCGCCAGTAGAAGCAGGATCAGGAGTAGCAGCAGTAAGGCAGGCAGCCAAGCAAGCAGTAGGCAGCGCGCTAGTAAGGCAGGGGCTCACCAGTGGTGGGAAGAGGAGGCTCGACGACTCGGCGACTCGGCGACTTGGCAGCACGGCGGCAATGCAGCAACTGCGGCTCGGCGGCTCGGGCGACTCGGGCGGCTCGGCTGCTCGGGCGACTCGGGCGGCTCGGCGGCTCCGCGCGGCGGTACGGCTGCTCGGCTGTAACTGCAGCTCGGGCGGCTGGGGCGGCTCGGGTGGCTCGGGCGGCTCGGGCGGCTCGGGCGGCTCGGGCGGCTCGGGCGGCTCGGGTGACTCGGCACTAGCTCGCCGGCACCGGCGGCGCGGTGGTGACGGCGGGGCCGCCTGGGGACAGCGGCGGGGCCGGGTGGAGCGGCGACGGGGCTAGCAGAAGCGGGGCCGGGTCGGTGCAGGGCTGCGGGGCCGCAAGGGAGGTGGCGGGGCCGCGGTGGAGAATGGCGGCAGGGGCCGCGACGAAGGGCGGCAGGGGTCGCGACAAAGGGCGTTAGGGGCCGCGACGAAGGGCGGCAGGGGCCGCAACGAAGGGCAGGGCCGCGACGAGAGTGGCGGGGCCGCGACGAGAGATGGCGGGGCCGCGACGAGAGGTGGCGGGGCCGCGACGAGGGGCGGGGCCGCGACGTAGTGCGGGGCCGCGACGTAGGGCGGGGCCGCGACAAGGGGCGGGGCCGCGACGTAGGGCGGGGCCGCGACGTAGGGCGGGGCCGCGACAAGGGGCGGGGCCGCGACGTAGGGCGGGGCCGCGACGTAGGGCGAGGCCGCAACAAGGGGCGGGGCCGCGACGTAGGGCGGGGCCGCGACAAGGGGCGGGGCCGCGACGTAGGGCGGGGCCGCAACAAGGGGCGGGGTCGCGCGCCTCGGGGCGCGCGCCTGGCGCGCGGCGAGATGAAAATAGGTCGCACGCCGCGGGGCGTGCGACAGATCGAGTAGCAGCGGAAGCAGTAGTAGGGCCTTAGGAACAGTTCCCACGAGGGAACCTGCTCGATACCATGTGACAATTGAAACGAGAATGAGTGAACTATGAAATGAAGTGAGTACAAATATGAAACCCTAATTGGTTGTACCCCCTATGGGATGCCCCACTATAGCCTACACAACAGCATAAGCTATAATGTTCTGACAGTAAGAGCCCTCCAGTTGCTGTATTTTTCCTTCACAGCCGGACCCTTCGCAGCAGCGCAAAGGTTGGTAGCATGAGGCTCGGAAGCCAAGTGGGCCATTGCCGAGTCCAGCGCGGGACCGGAGACAAAGTTGCAGAGGGCGCAAATCCACGGCTCAACGTATTCGTCGATCCCAATGAAGAGAAGGCCCGGGTCCTTGCGGAAGGCAGTGGGGGCAGAGCGCGCCCCAAGGATTTGGCCTGAGGGGGGGAAAGGGTGAAGCAGCGAGGGGGGGAGGACAGAGAGCAAAGTGTGGATAGTCCCGGGGGGGAGGGGGGGGGAGGGAGAGAGTGGACAGAGGGGTGTGGTATAGGAGAGAGGGGAGGTGGATGTGCTGTAGTGAGGAGCAGGTGTGCGAGAAGAAAGTGCCAATTCTTCACGAGAGAAGGAGAGGTGGGAAGGAGGATATGGGGGGGGGGGGGGGGCGGGGGGGAGGGTCGCGAGGAAAGGTGCACAAAAATGTGACGAAGCGAAAAAGGGGGGAGGCAACAGTAAAAGGGGGCAGCCACCCGAGACAAAGGAGGGGCCGTGAAGGCAGGAGACAGAGGGGGGCTGGTGTGAGAGTTTGGGGCAGGAAGGTGGGGTCATAGGAAGAGGGATTAACTGGGGGCAGCAGCAAGCGAGCCAGTATAGGGTGGGCAGGGTCAGAGGGGACCAAGGAGGGGCAGGTGGGGGAGGGGCAGATCGTACCGTTCGTTTGTTGCAGTTGTGCAACGGAAATTTGAACCTTGTTGTTCAGGCGCTGCTTGTGCTTGATGGGGAAGATCTCATGGTCACCGTTGCGATGGTTATGCCCACAGAGTCCGCACTTGTGAGAGGAGATGTTGAGCAGAGCGGGATCGGATTCATCCTTGAGGGGGATGACAGCAGGAATGCAGGAGAAGGAGGGGTCATCCGGGGGGGAAAGGGGGATCCCAGAAAAAACTGGGAGGTAGACCTCCTCGTAAGGGTCCATGGTGCGGTGGAAGAAACGCAGCTCGGCAAGCCATGCAAAATCTGCCGGGTCAACCTGGTGAAGCACAAAGTCACGAGTGTCGTCAGGGGTGTATCCCGCGGGGACATTCCTGAGTGAAGGAGTAGCAGCCCTTGCAGCCTTGGCTGCCATGAAGTCCGGGAAGCGATCCTCGAAGACCTTCAAAAGCACAGAGCGTGAGGAGTTCAGAGAGATAGGGCGGGGAAAAAGGCATTTGAAATTCTCGGCGTTTTCCTCCGAAGGCCAGGTGAAGGAGAGCTGCGCGTACGAGCGGCGCGGGACGCGGAGGAGGTCGCCAGTGGCAGCTTCAAACTCCAGAATGGAACCACAGCGGAAGAAGTGCGGCTTCAGCATAGAGGAGATGCGCGCGATGAGGTCCGCGCGGATAGTTTCCGCCCCTGCTTCGGTCATCAGGAGGGTGACCACCGCGAGGCGGCAACGAGGCATCATTAGGCCAGAGGCCCCGGGCCTCGGGCGGCGGAGGTTGCGGAGGGGCGCCGCGTCGGAGGGCGGGGCCGTATGAAGGTTGACGGCCCCCAGAGGGACGCCAGCCGTCGGGGCAGCAAGGGCGCTGGCGGAGAGAGGGGTGGGGGCAGAAGAGGGGCCCGGGTGGGGGGCAGCATAGTCAGATGCAGCAGGCGTGGGGATGCCAGATGACGACGCCAAGGAGCCAGGCATGGAAGAAGGGCCTTCGAAGCAGGCCTTTTTGGTAGCCGGGGCGTTGTCGCTTGTGGGGAGCTCGGGGAGGTTAACATTAGGGAGCTCCTCGAGGTGGAGATCCTCACCGTCGAGGTGGAGGTCCTCATCCACGAGAGTCATGTCGTCGTCAGGGTTGTGAGGCGTTGCCATGGTGACTGGGGGGGAGTGAGAGAAGACGAAGGAAAGGCGAGAAACTAGGGGGCCGTGAGGGGGTATAAATATGACGCATGGCGCAAGGGAAGGCCGGGCAGGGGTGGGGGCAGGTCGGAGGCAGTGAGAGTGAACGACGGATCGCCATGCACGGAAGTGGCCATGGCGTGCGGGAGGTGAAAGGTCGCACCCAGAAACGGGTATGACAGGGAGCGGAATTCGGAAGGGCGCACGCTGTCTATTGTGTAGGCTATAGTGGGGTAGCCCATATGCCCATATGGGGTACACATTTCTAGGGTTGCATATTTGTATCACTTCCATTCCTTATTCATTCATTCTCGTTCTACTTTTCTCATGGTATCGAGCAGGTTCCCCCTTGGGAACTGTGCCTAGGGCCCACCACATCGAGTTTCAATTCTTTTTTTTCTCTCCTGCCCGAAGCGCTCTCCGCCCGAGTCGCGCTCCGGGCTCTCACCTCGCCGAGCCGCCCTATCGGCCCCGCCGCCCTTTAGTGCGGCCCCGCCGCCCGTCACAGCGGCCCCGTCGCCCCGCATCGCGGCCCCGCCGCCCGTCTCCGCGGCCTCGCCGCCCGTTGCTGCGGCCCCGCCCCTACTCAGCGGCCCCGCCGCCCTGCTCAGCGGCCCCGCCGCCCTACTCAGCGGCCCCGCCGCCCTACTCAGCGGCCCCGCCGCCCTTCTCCTCAGCGGCCCCGCCGCCCTACTCAGCGGCCCCGCCGCCCTTCTCCTCAGCGGCCTCGCCGCCCTACTCAGCAGCCCCGCCGCCCTACTCAGCGGCCCCGCCGCCCTTCTCCTCAGCTGCCCCGCCGCCCTACTCAGCGGCCCCGCCGCCCTTCTCCTCAGCGGCCCCGCCGCCCTACACATCGGCCCCGCCGCCCTTCTCCTCAGCGGCCCTGCCTCCCTTCTCCTCAGCGGCCCCGCCGCCCTACTCAGCGGCCCCGCCGCCCTTCTCCTCAGCGGCCCCGCCGCCCTACTCAGCGGCCTCGCCGCCCTTCTCCTCAGCGGCCCCGCCGCCCTGCTCAGCGGCCCCACCGCCCTTCTGCAGCGGCCTCGCCGCCCTTCTCAGGGGCCTAGCCGCCCCTCGCACCAGCGGCCCTGCCGCCCTACACCGCCCGCACCGCCCGAGCCGCCCGAACCGCCCGAGCCTCCCGAGCCGCCTGACCTGCCCAAGCTGCCCGAGCCGCCCGAGCCGCCTGACTCTCCTGAGCCGCACGAGCCGCCCGACCAGCCCGAGCCGCCCGAGCCGCCCGAGCCGCCCGAGCCACCCGAGCCGCCTGAGCCGCCCGAGCCGCCTGAGGAGCCGAGCCGCTGGTGCCACGGAGCCGAAGTTCCTGCAGTGCCGTCTGAGCAGCCGTGTTGCCGTGCTGCTGTACCGCTGAGCTGCCCGACCCGCCCTGCCTGGTGAGAGCAGCGCTTCTCTCACTGCACTGCCCCTGTCCTACAGTTGGTACTACTAGTCCACTGTTGTCATGGCTACCCCCAGTGTTCTCGCTTTTGACGCTGAGGGTCGAACCATTGACTTTGAGGTTTGGGTGGATGACCTACAGCTTTTCCTACAGTGCGATAGGGCAGACGGTCTTTCCCTCTTTGACCTCACCTCTGGTGCTTCCCCTGCCCCTGCTGCCGATGCCGACGCCACTGTTCGCTCGCGATGCTGCTGCACGTCTTGCTGTGCGTCGCCACCTGCCTGTCACTGAGCGCGCGCACTTTAGCCAGTACAAGAGTGCTCAGACCTTGTACGATGCCGTAGTTGCACGCTACTCCTCCCCTGCCACTGCTGCACTGAGCCGCCTCATGCTACCGTACCTCTTTCCTGACCTTGCTGCCTTTCCCACAGTCGCCGACCTCATTACGCACCTCCGCACTAGTGACACTCGCTACCGCGCCGCGCTTCCTGCTGAGTTCTGCGCCAAGAACCCCGCTGCAGACGCTTCACATAGACGTGTGGGGCCCGGCCCGCGTCCGTGGACAGGATCACGAGCGCTACTTCCTGCTGGTGGTTGACGACTACTCCCGTTACACCATAGTCTTCCCCTTGCGCAGCAAGGGTGATGTCGCTGAGGTGTTGATCGACTGGATCCGCGTAGCTTGTCTCCAGCTCAAGAGGAGCTTCGGCTCGGACTTTCCTGTTCTGCGTCTGCACTCTACCCGAGGCGGAGAGTTCTCCTCTGGCCTTCTGCGAGCCTACTGTCGTGCGCGAGGCATCCGCCAGACCTTTACGCTTCCGGACTCTCCACAGCAATATGGGATTGCTGAGCGCCGCATTGGCATGGTCATGGACGTCGCTCGTACGTCCATGATGCATGCGGCTGCCCCCCATTTTTTGTGGCCGTTTGCGGTTCGGTACGCGGCGCATCAGATCAACCTTCACCCCAGGGTCTCCAGGCCGGAGACCTCCCCAGCCTTGCTGTGGACGGGGAAGGTCGGCGATGCGTCTGCGTTCCGTGTCTGGGGATCTCGGGCGTTTGTCCGCGACTTGTCTGCGGACAAGCTGTCCCCTCGTGCTGCTCCCTGTGTCTTCCTTGGCTTCCCCCCTGCCCCCCTGCGTGGCAGTTCTACCACCCCACCTCTCGTCGTGTTCTGTCCTCCCAGGATGTCACGTTCGACGAGTCAGTACCCTACTACCGCCTCTTCCCCTACCGCACTCCTTCCCTCCCCCCGCCACCGCACTTCCTTGTGCCAGGTCCCCCCCCGGTAGACCCCCTCCCCCCTCAGGGTCCTGCCCCTTCAGGTGTGTCCCAGGTAGATGCAGTCGAGCCAGTCAAGGTTGCTGGTGACTCTGGTACTGCTGCGGGTGCTGAGCCTGGGGGTGCTGACTCTGGGGGTGCTGCACGCGTGGGTGCTGAGCCTGGGGGTGCTAAGTCTGGGGGTGCTGCGCCTGGGGGTGCTGAGCCTGGGGGTGCTGAGCCTGGGGGTGCTACGACTGGGGGTGCTGAGCTTGGGGGTGCTACGACTGGGGGTGCTGAGCCTGAGGGTCCTCGCCTGGGGGTGCTGCATCTGGAGCTGCTGAGCCTGAGGGTGCTGAGTCTGGAGCTACTGAGCCTGGGGGTACGGAGCTCGCGGCCGCTAGACCTGCTCGTGTGGCGTCTGGCGGTGCTGGGCCTGGTGGTTCTCCGGGTGCTTCGTCTCGGCGGGAGCCACTCTCTCCACTGGAGCTGCGCGAGTGGTTTGCCCGGCGCTGGAGGCGTACTACTGGAGCTGGTGCTTCTTCGGCTGCTGAGGGTGCTGGTGCCGCTGGTCTTGGAGGTGCTAGTCCTGAGAGTGCTACTGGAGTCGGAGCTGCTGAGGGTGTTGGCGCTGAGGCTTCTGTTGTCAGTCCTGATGGCGGTCCTGCTGCGGGTGCTGCTGGTGCTGCTGGAGGTACTGGAGCTGGAGGTGCTGTTGACGCTGGTGCTGCCGCTGGGGGTGCTGGTGCTGTCCCTGATGTGTCTGGAGTCGCCGCGCGGCCTCGGCCGTACTTTGTTCCGCTCCTTCAGCAGGTTCTTGGTCTTCCTCAACCCTTAGAGTGTCCCCCGCCTATCCAGTCGCAGTCACAGTTACCGCCGGCCTCCCCACTGCCTTCTCCTTCTCCGTACACTGGTCCTACTGGAGGTCTTGCTGAGCGTAGTGAGCGTGCGTCTCGTCCTGCGTCGCCTGTTCGTGCTGCTCGCACTAGTGGTCGCAGTTCGCGTCAGCGTCCTCCTCGTGTCCCTGGCACGCACCGGATGTCTCTGCATGCGTCCACTGCTCCTCTGCGTGCCCCTTTGCCCTCTCCTCCTGAGTCCTCTCTTCCTGCGCTTGCCGACCCTCAGTCGGACTCTCTTCGTGCTGCCAGTCCTACTGTCACGCGTCTCCTTGCTATTGTCGTCTCCTTGCTTTGAGTCCACTGCTGCGTCTGCTCTTGTTGCTGAGCTCGTCGACTTTGCTGCTCGCTGTCGTCTAGACTACGCTGCAAGTCTTGTTGCTGAGTCTGCGTCTGTCTGTCCTCCGTCCGTCGGGGGTGAGTGTGCTCTTGGCACGGACGTCCTTGAGGACAGGCAGGAGGAGTTCCAGTGTCAGGCTGCTGCTTCACCTCATCTCGCGTCCGTACTGCTTACCCCTGAGGGAGACCCGGATGCACTAGACATCCCGACTCCGCGCTCTTACGCGGAGGCCGTAGAGGGTCCCTACTCCTCTTAGTGGCAGGCAGCTATGGATGCAGAGATGGCTTCCTGGAAGTCCACAGGCACCTACGTTGACGCGGTTCCCCCTCCTGGGGCGAACATCGTCAGTGGCATGTGGATCTTCAGGGTGAAGCAGCCGCCGGGCTCTCCACCTGTCTTCAAGGCGCGGTACGTGGCTCGTGGCTTCAATTAGCGGCAGGGAGTTGACTACTTTCAGACCTTCTCTCCCACCCCGAAGATGACCACTCTTCGGGTGCTGCTACACGTAGCCGCTCAGCGTGACTACGAGCTTCACTCCCTTGACTTCAGCACTGCTTTCCTGCAGGGTAGCCTGCACGAGGAGATCTGGTTGCGCCGTCCACCTGGCTTCACTGGGACTTTCCCTCCTCACACCCAGTGGAGTCTCTGACGGCCAGTCTACGGTCTCCGCCAGGCACCGCGCGAGTGGCACGACACACTGAGGACTACACTTGCGGCTCTTGGGTTTGCTCCTTCTACTGCTGACCCGTCGCTGTTTCCTCTCTGCCGCCGCTCTACATCCTCGTGTACGTCGACGACTTGGTCTTTGCCACAGCTGACACTGCTGGACTCGCCCACGTGAAGTCCGAGCTGCAAAAGAGACACACGTGCACAGACCTGGGTGAACTGCGCAGCTACCTTGGCTTGCAGATCACCAGGGACAGAGCACGCCGCACCATTACCCTGACTCAGTCACACATGGTGCAGCAGGTCCTTCAGCGCTTCGGCTTCACGTACTCCTCGCCTCAGGCCACTCCTCGCCTCAGGCCACTACTCTGCCTACTCGCCACTCGCTCTTAGCTCTGCCTTCGGATGAGTCCGT